AGAAAGAAACGAAAAAGGGCAAAAAATGACAAAATACAACGTTTGAGCAAAGAAGAGAAGGCGCAAATGGAGATACATCAAGAAACCATTGAAGATACTCAAGATTTCAAGACTCATCTTCATTTTCTCAATTTATCAAAAATTCGAGTTATGTCTTTTAATTTAAATGACTTCTTGTAATTTCCATATGTTAGACTAGTTTTATACATTGTTAGGACGAGATGAACCATTGTTATAATATTTTTAGCTTTTAATTAATTATTTTGATTTTAATTTGGTTTGATTTGTGGATATTATTATTTTTTGTATTGTTTGTTTCAATTGTTTGATTACCAATTGAATTATTAGTGGATTTTATTGTTATTGAGATAGACAATAAAGTTTAAGCACAACATAATAAATATTTTAAAGTTCGATAGATGATGGTGATATAACTCTATGTTTTATACGGTTTCAATGGGCGTTCTAGCACTTATTAGTGTATTTATCATGTTTACATCTTTTATCAAGAAACAGAAGCGGAATTGATTTAATCGCTATTGAGAGGGGCTGTTAATTAAATTATGAACATTGACTAATATGAATGATTTCAAATTATCACTTTAATTGTTGCACTAAAAATGGAATAATAAGGGGATTTGACATTTCAACAATGCATCTCACGTATTTGAAAAACACATTTACTTGCTTTCACTAGTTTAATTGATAATTTAAGGATTAGTATAAAAATCACAAAACTTGGTTACTATTCGATTAAAGTTGTATTTAATTTTAACTTGTTTGAACACATAGTCCTCGTTTGTTCGACACTCTATTCACTAATTTATTACTTGTTCATGATCTCATCCACTAGCGAAAATCAAAAGATCAATTTATTTGTGACTAGAAGTATAATTTTGAGGAAGACTTTTTAAGTTATTAGTAGAGGTTTATAAGCATTGTTGCAATTTTTGCAAGTTCTGGACCAATTTGCAATTCTCATAAATGAGGGACTAACATGCAATTTCAAAAGTATTATGTATTGAGGGTTTTTGAGTGGCTAGATGAACAACGTTACTACTAATTTAAGTTTAATATAATTCAAAAGTATAAAATATGCCATGTGGGATGGCTATATGTAGTATTATTCATTCATCAATTTATGACTTAGCTCTTGTTTGAGCCCCATTTTTTTGAAAAAATACATTTTTAAACAGTATTTTGACATCATTTCAATCACACATTTTTTAATAAAATAATATTACACAAAAATCTAAAACTTTTCCTTATTTTTTAACCACACATTTCACATCATTAAATTATTCAAAAATGCATTTTCTTGACAAAAATGGGGCTCAAACAAGGGCTTAAGAAATGATAATTAAATTGAATTACATAGTTTACTTACAAGTAAATAGGGGCTAAGAATTTCACTTACTAGTTATTACTAACAAAAACGCTTACATTGTACTCTATTGATTTGCATTGTTGAGAGAGAGATGTACACGTTCTTGGCAACTGTGGTCTGTGGACGGTGGCAGACGTATTCTGCTTAAGACTGGCCTCGTATTCTAAATTAAATTAAGAGTGTTATAATGCTAAAATTTTAATTTCTTAATTGTACAGAAAAAATGTCAATTCAGACCTTTCTCCTTTGCCCTTTATATATGGAGTAATGTTTGTCGTCCTAGTAATCTCAAGCTAAAAGTTCGACCTAGGGATATGAGTCACCGCCCAATTGAGAAAATTTGGTTGGTTGTTTGGTTTGTGAGTTCGATTACGACCGATCATAATGACACCTTGATCATAGACTTGTGTCCTAAGCCATCGTGTCATCATTCTAATTGGCAACTTCTTTATATTCACTGAATCTACCAATATGAGTTCCACATTATAGGAGAATCAGATTACAGAAAGCATTCTCCGATCCATAGGTTTCTTGGTTTGTTGTGGAGGTGGGGTGGATTTGGGATGGGTTAGGGAAGATGAAGACCAATTTTATTTTTTGATTTCTGATTTTAACGTAAAGTTACCATTCTACTCCTTTATAAATTGTTAAAATATGGTCAAAATCATTTTTTTGTTCAACTGACGAAATTTTGGATGAAAACCGTTCAAAAGAGTCTCAGATGCAACGTTTGGAAATGTTGGGTGTGATGACTGCAACAAGTCAAAACTTCGGGAAAATTTTGCTAGTATTTCAAAGGTTTGAAAATTCTATTGCAATTACTCCTAATATTAATGATGATTTGAGTACGAGTTTTTAACAAATTCCCAAGGAAGTAGACTAGAGGATTTTGGACCTACCTCGACAGCTACCATCTTTACGCACACCTCACCGAAGCACCAATAATGGAACAAGTATGCATGCATTTGTAGTCTGTCTATTAACAAAATTGATTGGAATTCTTTAGATGTTACAATATGTAGTGTTACGTGTAGAAATAATTACTGTTCATGAGGACTTCATGTCAGTCACTCATTGTATGCTTATGTGTTTATGAATATTCGCATTTCGACCACTAAGGCTTAATTGAAGCAAAATATGTCTCGGTCGGCTGAAGCATGATTTAGCACGAAAATATGTAGATTCCTAACAGCTGGCTAAAAATGCAATCAAAGACTTCGACCACCTAACCAAAAGGTTCGAAGGGCTTAGTTCTCGAATATGTGCAAAAATGTTAGTGTAAAATATGACAAATCAATGTAGAGTTCAGTACAATAAACTCACGAGTGCAAGCAATGAATTGCTTGACAAATGTCACAAAGTACGAATCTAAGAAAGGATTAAAAATCTAATATCTAAACTTCAACTCTCTAAAAAAATTGCCTTAAGTCAAGGCAAAATTAAAGGTCGGGATTTAGAATAAATTCTCTGAAAGGGGAGCACTTTCCTCCCAATTATCATAAAAATCTCACTACCTTTCTTCTTTCTACTAAATTTGGCTCAATGCTACCCATATTTCTACATGAACTTAACCGTTGATTTAACTATGTTTTAATTCTAAGGTACACAATGAAGATTATTTGTAACAGCATATTATTTGATGATCATAAACAAACGATAGGGTTGATATAGGGGGTGCTAGCACTTAGGTCTGGGCAAAAAAATTGAAAAATCGAACAAATTAATTAAATCGAACTGACTCGGGTCGATTTGGGTTGGTTCGACGTAAGTAATTGGTTTGATTTGGTTTTTTTTAAACAAAAACATGGTAAGTCGGTTTAATTATCGTTTAAAATCTCAAATCATTGGTTAACCGAATCGAACCAACCTAACACACTTATGTGTTTACTTTTTTTTTTAATTTAAGAAAAATAAAAATTAAAAGATAAACTCTAATCTCATAACTATATCTCGATTTCCTCCAATTTATGATATTGCCGATAAATAATAGCATGTGCAATTTTCTTTCACAAGCTTATTATGTTATACTTACCATTTTTTTTTCATATTCAAGTGGTTGGATTACATAATACATAAAGAAGCAATAAATTTTTTAAGTTTTCTACTGATCCAACTCTATTAATCCGATTTTATTTATTAATCAATAGTTCTTATAATATAAAATTATTTAGTTATTTTAGTTCTTGTAATTTAAGTGTGCCTAAAAATTTAATTTGGTTTTGTTCGGTTTAAGAGCTATAATGGATTGATTTGATTTGAAATTTGCCTAAACCAACTAATCTGGTTTTGATTTTGGGTTGGAGTCGAAAACAACCCAAATCAAACCGTACCCAAACCTACTGGCACCTCACTAATAATAACATATCGAAAGGGAAAATAAAAATGAAAATGATATGGTAATGACTTCCGTAGCTAGGCAACGTCTTAGGCCTCATTTGGGAGCGATTTCGAGAATTGATTTTTTGACCGTTAGAAAAAAAAAGGCGGTCACCTGTGAGAAAAGAAGTCAAAATTTATGGTTGAAATAGTGAAATAACAGTAAAAAAATTAATTTTTTGGGGGTGAAAAATAATTCCCAGACGGCCCTTAATTTATATGTTCACTCCATCTCCACTCAATAAAATGAGACACTTGTAGCAACGGTGAGGTTGTGGCGTCATTACCATTTTTGCATAGTTAGAAATTTTTGAGAGGCAAGATTAGAAAAATTATCATTTATTAACTGATTTAATTAATTATTTATTTTGTAATATTGTTTTGTATTTTTTAAATACCATTTTAATTAAAATACATAAAAATAAAAGTATAAATATTTTATTTAATTAAATGGGGTTAAATGGCCAATAGTAAGTCTAGAGATGGTCCAATCCTAAATTTTCGAATATTTAGTAAATGAAACCGTCAAGTCCAAATTTATTATGGAACTATCCGAATTTTGTTCAATTCAGTTCAACTGTATTTTGTTACATACAATAATTAAATATTTTTAATATTTGCAATAACGTTGCACAATTCAATTAATGATATGTTCAATTTTAGCGATTACAAAATAACGTAGTCAAATATTATGTGTATTTTGCGCTTCTCTTTGTTGAGTTATTCATAAATTTGATTGTTAAAATCACATAAAAATAAAGTAGCGAGCTCATAGCAATGGAGTGAGGTGTAGCCGAGCTTCCAATTTTATTTTTTTCAGAACTATAAAAATGGCACCACGATAGAAAAATAGATTTTGGTAAAATTTAGGTCAATTTAATTAATTGGGCTCTTAAAATTAGAAATAATTTAAATCATATTTTGGGTTTAAACTAAATTGATTAGTTAACAAATTTAATTAAAAAATAATTTGACTTATTTAAAATAAATAAATTAAGAAAAAAGGAAGATTCGACTCTTTGTCTAGAACCAATAACCGAGAACCAATTCTATCGATGCTCGATTTAAATATTTGTTTGGATATTTAACTTGAAAAGAACCGTTCGATTCGATTCAATTCGATTATGGAGTTTTGTTCGGCCTTAGCCAATAAGAGAGCGGGCAAGTGGGGATGAGAAAAACAAACATGCCCTAAGCCCTTATCCGATTAATATCCGCACATTTTTTCTGAAATATCTCTTCACTCGTCGCTCCTTGAATCTCTTCAAAACCCTATTTCGAGAAGAGAAAAGACAGAGCAAAACCTTATCCTCGTTCAGCACAACCACAACCACAACCACAACAATGGCTGCCTCTGCCTCGTCTCTTCAGCTTATCCCTCAAACCCTCTCTCTGTACCGTCACTCATCCACGGCTTATTCTTTCCCAAACTTTACTCCCTCTTCTCTTAAACCTCTTCCAAAACTTACCATATCGATTTCCTCTAGAAATTGTAATGGTGAGACCACTTCTAAATTTACGAGAAAAGTTGCTGTATCTTCTGCGTTGGACGAGTTGGAAGAAGAAGCGGGAGAAGAGAATGAGGGCTTTGATTTTTCTAGCCCAGAGGACCCCAGCTTTTCGCCTGACCTTAAGCTTTTCGTGGGAAACTTGCCTTTCAATGTTGACAGTGCTGCTCTTGCAGGCTTGTTTGAACAAGCCGGAAATGTTGAGATGGTTGAGGTAATTTTACATCTCTTCTTATGTTCTTTTAATATACACCCAGCTTTTATGATGGTAAAGTATTCTGTAAGGGAAAATGGTTCCTTTTTTGGGTTTTTGTCTTTGTTTTTTTATTATTCTATTTGAAAATACAATGTTACCTTGAATTTTTGGTAATTGCAAATAGATTAGGGATGGGGTTTCATGAAGTGAGGATTTTGTTCACGTTAAGCTTATTGATTTTCTGACTTTACACCTGTGTAGAATTTTCAGTTACTTTGTATATTAAATGGGATAGATGTATGCTTATCAAGGCCCTGTGGTTGTGTATCGATTGGGTTATGTACATACTATGCATGTAAATGTTCTTATATTTGAACAAGGCTACTTATTTTACCTGTTCATCTAGGTTGCTTGTTTTCCTTTTGTGATGATGGATTGTTAGCTAAGTAGTGAAATTTTCAGGTTATCTATGACAAGCTTACAGGGAGAAGTAGAGGGTTTGGTTTCGTTACAATGTCAACCGCAGAGGAAGCTGCAAGTGCTGCTCAACAATTCAATGGATATGTAAGTTTCCAGCATTTATGGTACTTAAGGGTACAGAAATGCATAGGCTTCTATAGATTGTATACATGTGAAGTTGTATCTCTATTTTAAATTTTTTAATTGTGATAATAATACCCGTTATGCTACTTTTGCATCAAGTCTTGAGCTTGTTTATTCAAACTGAGCGTAAAATTCAAGAATTGCTTTGTTTATCAGGAATTTGAGGGCAGACAACTGAGAGTGAATAATGGACCACCACCTCCTAAGAGGGAAAATTCTTCATTCGGAGGACCCAGGGGAGGATCAGGAACAAGTTCCGATAGTGGCAACAGAGTTTATGTGGGGAACCTTGCATGGGGAGTTGACAATCTTGCTCTTGAAACCTTGTTCAGTGAGCAAGGAAAGGTTATGGAGGCCAAGGTGGTTTATGACAGAGAGAGTGGTAGATCAAGGGGTTTTGGGTTCGTGACTTACAGTTCTGCTGATGAGGTCTACAATGCTGTTGAATCGTTGAATGGCATGGTACATTTATTCTTGAGGCGATATTACTTGCACCTTTATTTACATATGTAAGCATGCATAAATTTGTCATTCTGAAATGTATGTTTATACACGTTTTAAAATAATAGTTACTAAACCCTGTTAAGCCTGATGTTTAAATTGTAAACCCACCGAACCAGACATTATACTGTTGTGGTTTAGCAAGGAATTGTGGGTCACTATGACATGGATGGTTGAGAGTACTACAAGGTCGTATCTTGCCTGAAAATGGAAGAAGCCTTGGAACTGAAGAGGCCAGGGTTATGGATTAACAATAAATATTGAAAACATGCCTGTAGACATGCATATGCTGGGAGACACCTCAATTTTGCAACTAAAAAGAAATTAATTTAAATGTAATAACAATATCTACTTATCAAGTATCTTTATACCTTGGGCAGCAATGTTATATTATTGTGTTTAAGAAATATGTGTTATATACCTTATAGGTACCATGTTGTTGATTCTAATTTTTTATCAAAAAACGACCCTGAAATTTCATTTTGCAGGACCTTGATGGAAGGTCAATTCGAGTTAGCCCTGCTGAGGCTCGTCCAAGGCGTCAGTTTTAATTGCTGAAATTTTCATGAATGGATAAAAGCTCAGGGTATGTAATTAACTTGTTTGAAATTGTTTATTCCATGTTCACCTATTGATCTTGGTACTATCAGCCAGCTTAAATGCTCTCAAGCTTACTATTTGAATCTGCAAGGCCTAACTATATCTCAGTTTTTTCTTTCCTATATATTTCTGTTATCAGAGGTATATGCGTGACGTGTGAACCTGGAACTGAAGCCAATTTTGATTGGAAGAACTTTATACATGGACTCAAGTTGCAACTTTGGATCCGACACACGTCTATACTAACCAGACAGATAGTGTATTGAGATCACAATGCATGTTCTGAATGTCCTCTGGGAAATATACCAATTTGTAATCCTGGCTGTTACTTTTGGCGGAGTACGCTATCTTTTGACCATTTGGCTTTCAGCTGTATGTCATATGAAAAATTTTATGATAATAAAATGATTATGCAGGTTTTTGTTTTAATTCTGTTGACAAAATCTTGAGTACCATGTGGAAGTTAATGTGCCGAGCTTAATAGTTTATTCAGCTTTATTTATTCTCACAACACATCGAACCTTAACATTGCTCGATTTCCTGTTGAGTGATTTTCTCCGAGCACTGGCTATAACTAGAGATAAATTGCGTGGCACAGGTTTGACAGAATCCGGGCTGAGCCCAGCCGAGTCCCGGCTGATACCAATTTTACTGCTATATTTTAATTTTTTGATGAGTAGACAAACGCAGGGTCGGTCAAAAATGAAGACATAAGCTTATAGTGAATTGGGAATAACTGACGCAAGATTTGAATCGAATACGAGTCTACAAGCTTTTGGTGATGACAATGCATCAATTCTGGTATGCAAATTTGACGTAATGAAGGCTGAAAACGTAATTAGTCAATAAAATTATACACATTCAAATTACTTTTCTACGTTGACTCGAGATTCCTGGGACAGGATCCTATTTTCTGTCTTTACTTTTTTCTTATTACTTGTTTGATAGAGATTTCGGTAATTGATTTTTTGATTATCAGTAATAAAGTGAGTTTTATCTGTGAGAGAAAAGTTTAAAAATGACGGTTAAAATGGTGAAATAAAGGTCAAAAAAATTGATTTTAACTGGCTTAAAATTTATATCAAACAAGCACTTAGTATAATCTTACCAAAAATAAATAAATAAATAAATATTCAGATATTCCAGTCCCATTGTCAATATTATGCTGTAACATTTGCACAGATAATACAAGAAGACAAAACAAGAACTGTGTTCCAGTCAAGATAAGGAGGGATTTGTGCTCAAACAACAAACAGAAAAGAGCACAAACTGCCCACTTTTGATTTATGCCATCTTTTGTAGTTCTTGTAATATTACCATGCAAATTAAATATGTCAAAAGCCCTTCGATTCTCAGACGCTGCAAACTATAATCACATTTTGAAAAATTTGAATTGCATCCAAGAATGCAACAGCTGGTCACATAAGATCAGCGAGGTTTATTTTTTAGTCCTGCTTTATTCTCTACATTATAGTTCATTTCTAAGTGTTATGAGTAAACAAAATGAATATATGTGGCCCCTCTGTAACAAATTTATTGTTATATGAGAAGGTTGACATATTCCATTAATGTTCAAAGAGATGACGACTCAGTCTTTTGATGAGTTTTGATTTCTTTCACTTCCCTGAGAATATTTAGATGATATGAACTCGTTTTGGTGTAATAGGATTCTGAATTCTACTGATGCATGGGATCCATTGCAGCAATATTGCTAACTTGCTTATGTCAATGTTTTGCAGGATAACTCAACATTTATAGCGTCAGCAGTCGATAATGGGCTCCTTGAGCTTTGCCTGTTCCAAATCTGTAAGGTTGTCCAATTATCCATGTCTTGTTTTTGCATCAGTTGCTAAATTTAGCCTTTTTTTTTTCGTGATGCTATCTGATCCTCTCTACAAAACGTTGCTGAAAGTAATAAATGGATAATATAAGTGAAGTGGTTGGCATGGTAGGACAACAAGAACAAGTTGCACATGTTATTTGAAAGTTTAATTTGTGTCCTTCCCTCTTCAAGTCCACAATTAACCAAGTATGTATTGGTTGTCAGATTCCAAGATGACCTAGAAACCGAAGAATCTGCAGCATCAAGAAATGGAAATTTCATGATCTTCACCACTACGAAAAGGGGGAAAGAAATGCTCAAGTCAATCCCAAAGAATACCGAGATTTGTTCAAGAAACAAGCCATTTCAGAATAAAAAACTTTCAAGGGTATTCTCCGAAGACTACGAGATAGTGCAGAAGAAGATATTAGATCCACGAGGACCTTTTCTAAGCCAATGGAATAAATGTTTTCTAATCTCATGTCTCATTTCCCTTTTTGTCGACCCCCTATTTTTTTACTTGCCGAGTGTTAAGGAGGACATGTGCCTGCAAGTAAGCATTCCCCTAGAGATAGATCTCACCATCATTCGTTCAGTAGTTGATGCTCTTTATATGATTCAGATTTTTGTACGGTTTAGAACAGCTTTTGTTGCGCCTTCTTCTCGTGTAATTGGGAGGGGAGAACTGGTTATTGATTCTTCAAAGATTGCTTCAAGATATCTTCGTAAAGACTTTTGGCTCGACATATTGGCAGCTCTACCCCTTCCACAGGTACTATAAGCACCATCCTTGTTAAACAGCCCTTTCTGAGTCTCCAGAAAATGGTGATATTTGAATAAATTTGCCCATGCACCTGCAATTATCTTCTCGTGATATTCTGCTTTGTGCATTATCAATTTATCAAATATTTGCACATATCAACAATAATTTATTTTTAATAGCTGATGACAATGTCAATTCTCAGGTGTTGATTTGGGCTGCAATCCCATCTTTGAGGGGTTCAAATGCGATTACTGGAAAACAGGCCCTGCGCCTTATCGTCCTTTTTCAGTTCCTCTTGAGACTGTATCTTATTTTCCCCCTTTCATCTAATATCATCAGCACTGTGGGGGTTATTGTGGAAGCTGCATGGGCTGGTGCAGCTTATAATCTTATGCTCTTTATGCTGGCAAGCCATGTAAGTTTGCTTGCTTAAAATTCTTCATTTGTAAAAATAAGAAGCTGGGATTCATTTTTCTACATGCTGAATAATTTTTAGTTGATAACTTTCGACAATTTTCTAACGGGATATAGTAACTGTATGGCTGGAAATATATTTCTTAGCAAATTGCTTGTCTGAAGCTTATTATTGAATCTTATAACGAATTGTTATAGAGGATGAAGTCAGTTGCTGATACTCTATTGTTAGTATGATTGTGTGGAGCCTAATTATATTGCTCCTCTCAATTGTGGACCTCAAGGATATATTGGGTATTCATATTTGTATCACGCTGCCCTAATATCCTGCATAAAAAGGACTTTTAGGCGGGTATTTTTTTATTTTATTTAGGCCCCGTTTGGGAGTGATTTTTCACCCCAAAAATTGATTTTTTAACCGTTATTTTAATATTCCGATCGTAAATTTTGACTTCTTCTCTCACAAATGGCCCCCACTTTTCTCCTAACAGTCAAAAAATCAATTCTCAAAATCACTTTCAAACGGGACCTTATTATTATTATTATTATTATTATTATTATTTTGTGTCAAAGAAGTGGGTGAAAACCCTGCATTTTTTTTTCTCCGTTACGGTGAAAACGTATACGGCAAGTGGACGCAGCCCTCGCATTAACTCTCAACCACTATTAGTCCTCTGTTCTTATTAATATTGCTTTTTAAACTAGGAAATCGAGTTCAATCTGTAACATCTGTCTGTGTTGCATTGTTTAATTAACTTTCTTCTGGGTAAAAATCCTCGGGTGATCAAGTTTTTCTCTGTTCTTTGAAGCTCATTGGTTCGTGCTGGTATCTGCTAGCAATCGAGCGTCAAGAGGAGTGCTGGAAAATGGTTTGTGATCTTCAGAAACCAAAATGCCAATATTATTATTTTGACTGTCGAACAAGTGTTGATTCTAATCGGATAGCGTGGTTTATAACAAGCAATATCTCCAAACTGTGTGATCCTAAGAGCGATTTCTACAACTTCGGAATTTATGGTGATGCATTGACCTATGGAGTTACAATGTCAAGCTTCCTTAATAAGTACACCTATTGTCTCTGGTGGGGATTGAGAAATCTGAGGTAAGTTGCAAAGTCCATGACATCTATGATATCCTGTGTTTTAATCTTAAGAGCATAAAACTTTTGAGCGACACTTTTTGCTCAAGATCTTTCAAAAAAATTGCAATGCAGGATAATAATCACATCAGCACACGCCACAAAAATGATAAATTTAAATTACACTTGGTATATTTATGTTAAAATGAACTTCTGCTTTGTAATTTTGCAAATTAACTCATTTTGTTTCAAAATTGATTTTTGCAGCTCCATTGGACAGAATCTCATGACGAGCACCTATGTTGGAGAAATAGATTTCGCCATTGTCATTGCCATTCTGGGCTTGGTGCTTTTTGCATTGCTCATAGGGAATATGCAAGTAAGCCTTGGCGCTTTTGTCTTTCGCCTTTTATTTTTTGTTAGATTTAAGGAGCAGTATTGAAAACATGATTTAAATAAATAACTCATCCCCTTTCAACCGGCGTAAGCTTTTAGATAAGATAATTCAACATACTATTAGAATAGGCAAAAGTTCTAGGATCAAATTTTGTATGAGTAAACGAATCATGCTTCCAAGCAGGGGCATGTGATGTTAACAACTTGAACGTTTAGACGAGATGGTTTAACATATGGTGTTGAAAGCTTTTGTACTTGTTTCCATTGAACAGACCTACCTCCAATCTACTACTTCACGACTTGAAGAGTGGAGAGTTCGAAGAACTGATACAGAACAATGGATGCATCACCGGCAGCTTCCTCACGACTTGAAGGAGAGAGTACGCAAGTTTGAACTGTACACATGGGTTACAACAAGAGGAGTCGATGAGGAAGCTATTCTCAAAGGACTTCCTCTTGACCTCCGAAGAGATATCAAGCACCATCTTTGTCTTGATCTAGTTCGAAGAGTGAGTCCCACTTTCTTCCTTTTGCATCAGAGTTTTTTCGCAAGAAAATTATTTTGTGATATGTTATTATGTGCGTACAATATGTAAAATAGGTTCCCCTTTTTGATGAGATGGATGAATGCACGCTAGACGCAATCTGTGAACGTTTGAAGCCTGTTTTGTGCACTCCTGGAACTCGCCTAGTGAGGGAAGGAGACCCTGTGATTGAAATGCTCTTTATATTACGAGGGCACCTAGATTCTTATACAACTGATGGAGGTCGAACCGGATTTTTTAATTCTTGTAGACTCGGGTCTGGGGACTTTTGTGGCGAAGAACTTCTGACGTGGGCTCTTTACCCGCGCCCGAGTATCCTCCTCCCTTCATCTACACGCACGGTGACAGCGATTACTGAGGTTGAAGCCTTTGCACTTGTTTCAGAAGATGTGAAGTTCGTTGCATCACAATTCCATAAGCTGCACAGCAAGCAACTGAAGCATAAATTCAGGTTCCATTCCCACCAATGGAGGACTTGGGCAGCATGCTTTATCCAAGCAGCTTGGTTTCGATACAAAAGAAAGAGAGAGGCGGCTGCGTTGAAGGCTCGGGAGTGTGCTGTAGCGCGTGAATTAGCGACTGGACGAAGCACGTCGCTGCCCCCGAGGGCGTCGGATTTTGCAATGTGTGCTGTAAGATTAGCAAATAGTAATAGAAGAGCCAGCAGCCTGAGGAATAGTTCACAACTGGACCTACTCTGGAAGTTACAAAAGCCAGTGGAACCTGATTTTCCAGTTGATGATGATAGGTAAAAGTTAGCAGTTTGGAAATATCAGATTTAATGTAAACAAAATTGTAATGTAAGGAAAGGATTATGTTAGTTAACTAAGGGCCTATTTGATAGAACTTCTGTTTCTTGTAGAAGAGTTTAACTAATAAGTTCTCTTATATCAACTTATTTTAAAAACTCTTCTAGCATGACAAATTAGTTTCAGAATATTATTCAAATATATTCAAAAGAAACTTTTTACTTCTCAAATGACCTACAAAATTGGTCCTAAAAATCACACACAACTTTCCTAAACAATCTCTTCTAAATCCTGAGAAAATGATAAAATGTGCGTATGAACAAGATTCGTTTTGGGTTTCATTTTCTTTTGCTAAAAAGTTATTTTTCCGAAAAAATGATCCTCTAAACGCTAATGCTTAGCTTATGTTTAAAGAACTGCGACATGACATATTTTGTAAAGTGAAATTTTAGGTAAAGGAAGCAAGTGTTGAGCTAAAGTTTATGTTGAGCCTTAGTTTGATCTCAAGGCCCATGTACTATAACTCCTCATGGGTTGCATCAGTTTGGAGCCCACTCTTTTTGGATTGTAACTGAAAAAATCTGATTCAAAATAATAGAAATACAAGTTTTGCATATCTTCGCTTAAAAAGGATCCACTTCTTTTTTGAGAAGTTTGAAAGTCTTCCACCACTCCACATTCTAATTTTCTTTTAGACAGTCTTTATACAGACCATGTGCATAGCCCATATAGTGCTCAAATGGTTCCTATTGAGTAATAGAGTCCTGTCTTAATCAGTGCTTGCTTGGTAGTATTTTTAAATGCTTATAAATAGTAAATTTTACAGAATTTGGGAATAATAAATTGTGGATTCTACAAAATGTGCAAACAAAAAGTATATTTGACCAGTTTAAATTATAATTTAACTTTTGCTAAACATGCTTTAAGAAGAACTAATGTAATACATCTTTCTAAAATGTTAACTGATTTGAAAATACAAATTTTAAAATTCGATCACTCTTTTGTGTAACAAGCGCATGATGTTCAATAGAACATCCATGAATTTTATCGTCAACTTGATGAATTAATTTCAAGACATAAGACTTTTCTATTAGAACGAGTTGTTCACTTTAATAGTTACTCTATTCTTTCTCAACCCACATAATGACTACAAAATAGTTGCATGTGCATTTTTTCCATTTAAATTAAGACATCTATCATGGATAGTGACTATCACATGATATTGTACCTTTCATTTTTAGCTAAAATTCCAAAGTTGGTTACAGTAGAAAATCAAAATAAGTGAGGCAAATCACATTATGTAACAAAATTACATGCACTAAACAGGAAATAATGCACATGTAGGAGAAAATTAGCTGATTTACTAGTCTTTGAATGGCACAGTAAGTGGATTAAGTTTAATTGGATGTTACAGATTAGTGTAAATTATGTTTTGATATTATCATGTACAGCAATGAGTAGCTGATAGTCTTGTGCACAATAAACTTGGGATCGCTTCTTAATATTTGACTTGTAGTCACTTTGATTCAAAAGGTAATGGCGATTCATAACTTTCTCTGCTTTCCACAATTGTAAGCATTTGTCGTTCAGATTACTTCTTA